TGTGTGTCTTATCAATTTCTTGATGGTATTCTTTGAAATAGAAAAGTTCTGATTATTAATGAAGTCTGGTTTCCCTGCCTTCTTTCCATCGTCTGTGCTTTTGCTGTACTACCTACGAAATCATCGTTTAGCCCCGAGGTCCTGAACATTTACTCCTGTCTTCCTCTTTGGACTTGGTATCCACTTGATGGCACTGAGTGTGGGTTTGGTTTGGTTTCCTCTTAAGAGAGCGCTGGTATCGTGGTGGTTATGCATTACCAGCGGTTCTCCACCTTCCTGATGCCGCGACCCCTTCATACATCATGGTGGTGACCCCCAACCATCAAGTTCTTTTCATTGCTACTTCATAACTGTCATTTTGCTGCTGTTATGAATGGGGCATCCCCCAAAGGGGTCGCGACCCACAGGTTGAGAACCGCTGCATTAGGCAGAGACTACACCCATGAAGAGTGACAGTCTTGGAAACCCACAGGGCCCGTTCTCTCTGTCCGACAGGGTTGCTGTGTCGGCATCGACTCGATGGCTCTGAGTTTTCCTCGTTTCCACACTGACTTTTTCAGCCTGTGATCTGCTTGGAGTTATATTGTGTAAGCTGTGAAGTAAAGGATGGTGCTCTTGTGTATTTAAGCTGCTCTACTCCCTTGTGATGTCCATGTTTTACTACATTTTACTAGGTTTCTTATATTTTACTAGGAGAAAACTTGTTTAAGGTCACAGTCTCACAGGCAATAGCGGAATCAGATTTGAACGCAGGCCACCAAGCTCCAGATCTTTTTTTTTCATAACTGCACCGTGACTTCCATAAATTGAACTTGAGTCTTCTGCCCTAATAAAGTAAAGGTCATTAAAGGAGCTTTGGGAACCCTGGTGGTGGAGTGGTTACGCATTGGGCTGCTAGCCATAAGGTAAGCAGTTTGAAGCCACCTGCTGCTCCCTGGGAAAAAGATGAGGCTTTTCTACTCCCATAAGAGAGCTACGATCTCAGAAGCCAGAGAGGCTGTGTGTGGCTTTAACCTGTCCTGTAGGGTCACTGTGAGTTGGCGTCGACCTGATGGCACTGAGTTTGATTTTAGTTAGAAAGGAACTTTGAGCCTTGGTGGTACATTGGAGACGCACCAGGCTGCTAGCCACAAGTTCAGTGGTTTGAACCCACCAGGTGCTCCACCGGAGAAAGGTGAGCCTCTCTGCTTCCATAAAGATTTATAGCCTTGGAAACCCTAGGAAGCCATGCTCCAATGCCCTATGGGGTCACTTTGAGTCAGAATTGACTTGATGACAATTGTTTGTTTTTTTGGTCGTTAGTGAGATCGAGTCTCGAAGTAATTACATAAAGCATAGATTCTCATTTAATTCTCATGAGAGCTCAGAGTATAGGTTGTCAGGTGAGAAAGTTAAAGTTCAGAGTATAGGTTGTCAGGTGAGAAAGTTAAAGCTCAGAAGGTTAGCTAACATGTGGGGAAAACTGTGAGCTCTCCAGGGCTTCAAACCCAGCTGTAAAGTTGTTGTGGCCATGGGGGTGGAACTTGCAGGGGAGCAGGGGTGAATCACCCGAGGCAGAGAGGCTCACAGAAGGAGAAGGCTGGATGAGCATTAGCACTCACTAAGCAGGAGCTTGCTGCCAGGGTAAGATGACTCCTGCTACTTACTGGCTAAGCTTTATTGCTAAGCAGGGCAGAGGCCAGGGCCAGGGCCAGCAAGGCCTGCCTGCAGGCATGGCTGAGAAAAGGCTGCCCTTATTAAGAACTATATCCTGAGCCATTTTTTAAAATTAAAAGATCATTTTACTGGGGGCTCTTACAACTCATAACAATCCATGCATCAATTGTATCAAGCATATTTGCACATATATTGCCATCAATATTTTCTACACATTTACTTTCTATTGAGCCCTTGGTATTTGCTCCTCTTCCCCCACCTCCCCCCCACCCCCAAGCCATTTCTGATCCTGAATTATACCCTGCAACTTCCCTGTGGAGCCCCTTAAATCGGGAGTGTGGTTGAGAGCTAGCTGTGGGGGCATCCCATTGCAGGGCCTCCCTCTGAGAAGTAGAGCGCTATGGGAGGGACAGAGATCGGAGAGGAGAGGCTTGCCTGAGCTCCTGGGGGAGCCTGTGGGTCACGGCCTGTGGGTGCTCTCTCTCCCCTGTGGAATCAGAGGTCAGATGCCTTCCCCAAGGATTCCTTTTTACAGCAGCCCTGGACACCGTATGGGACAGTTCTTGGTCCTGGAGGGTCACAATGAGTTGGAATCAACTTCAGTGATGGCTTTGGATTTGGCATTTTGAGGTTTAAGGTAGCCCTGGTGATGCAACCATGAAGTTCACATTTGCTAACCAAATGGTTGGCAGTTCAAACCCTCCAAGTGGTTCTGTGGGAGCTAGGCCTGGCAGTCTGCTTCTATAAAAAGGACTGCCAAGAAAACCCTGTGCCGGGGGCTTAGGTGGAGAGCAAATGTTTTGAGAATGACGAGGGCAATGAATGTACAAATGTGTTTTACACAATTGATGTATGTATGGATTGTGGTAAGAGTCGTTTGAGCCCCTAATAAAATGATTTTTTTAAAAA